TATTTACAAAAATGTGAGGGGTGTACTCACTTCTGTGAGATACTATATATATATATATATATATATATATTTAACGTATGTTTATATATTGTTTCTACCTATGTATATGATTTGAATATTAAACCACGTAATTAATGAAAGCAGTCTAAAGATGTTCCCGCGCACATCTCAACCCTTTCAGACCTGATTTTTTTTTAACAAATTTTTTTCATGTACTTGATATTTGCTCTTCTACAATATAGAAATTAGTCTAAAAAACAAGATTTGTGCCAACTAATTTTTTTTATTAAATTTTTTTTCATGATCCCAGGACTGAAACAACATAAATATACTCATATCCCAGATCGCAGACCAACACTGAATCAACAATAAATCAATGTTAATGCATCAACCACATTATCATTGAATCAATGTTGAAATTTAACATACATTTTTCGTTATTTCAATGATGAAATATAGATCAAGATTGTCATAAAAATCTAAATGTCTTCAAATTAAAATCACTTATTTAACTTTGAATCAACATAGAAACATTATCAAATCAATCTCGATTTTTACTCCTTTCAATCAGAAAATATGCAGGACTGCAATTAATGAATACAAAAAAAAGTCACTCAAAACGTCCTTCAGTTTACATGCAAATAAGCAGTTCAATTTAAAGATTCGCTATTAGTAGATGCTGCTGCTGAACGCTGCTGAGAGACGCACAGACGCAGGTATTCACATGCACTTAATATCTCTCTCTCTCTCTCTCTCTCTCTCTCTCTCTCTCTCTAATAACTGCGTTACTGCATTAATAACTGCGTTAGCCTGCATATCAATGGCTCAAGCCTCTGTTATTAGCTCTGAAATGAAGTTTTGGAATTTGCGAAGGAAGGTTTGGAATTAGGTGGGTACAAAATTAGCTAGTTAAACACACACGAGATTTCACTGATTAAGAAATATTTTTGTCTGCTGGGGTGGTAATATTAGGCCTATTATATTAATAGGGAAGGGGGGCCCAGAAATGTGTTTTGCCTATGTCACGAAAAGAAGTAAATCCGGCCCTGAATATGTCATCACCCTTGACAGAGTGACTTTCTGGCTCATCTGTGAGCGTGAGCTGCACTCCATATAGTGCTGAATGCACACACTCAGTTCACTTTTGACATTGCTGGGGACATAACAGCAGAACTCTGTTGCTCTGTTTTGTCAAACACCGTACTTCAAACTCATCAATGCAACTTTGTTAATTCCTGAAGTGAACTTTTCGATGAACAGTTTTGGACTGCTGTCTTGAACTGGGTGCAATACCTGTGAGTTGTCCTAGACGCGGGCCGGCGCTTCTTGTCCGGTGTGCGACTACCTTATGTTCTCACTCCACCCATGTATTAAATGTGTGTCCTTAGGCTATACTTATAGCCTGGAGCTGGTTCACCCTCTGCCTTTGGCTGATATGTGAAGCATATTATTAATGCTTATTTCCTGAAAAGGTCTTATATGGGCAATGATGTAGCTCTTTTTGTTGTACTTTATTAATTGGCATTCATAACAAAATATGCAAAAAATCTCACACTATTTTCCCATTCCCCCCAGAAACACACAGACAAATACTCTTCAAACAATCTTCAAGACAACAAACAGATACATAGCAGCAGGAGGTATAAGGTGCGTATGTTATATAGGTATAACAATAATAAGAATAAATAAGAAAATAAATAGATAAATAAGTGAACAAATTAATGAGTAAACGAAGAGGGGAATAAACCACCTTATAGCTGCCTCAAACTGTCCACATCTCCAGGGTTGTAACTGACGTGCAAGGCTATATGCAACAAAAATGTAACAGATAATCAGGAAAAGAGAAAAGAAAAAACTAAAATAAAACAACAAAAAAAATATAAAAAAATTAATCAAAAGACACAAGGAAAGGTGACAACAAAAAGTTTGCTTTTTGAATCTCGGACAGTCATAATGTTCTCATCACAAGCTCAGTCAAGACATGTTTGTGAAATAGCTCATTTTATTCTCCATTCACATAACACCTGTATTGCCCAAATTTTCAGCTTCTTTTTCTATCTACCAAGAACCCCTTTTACAGTGTTTGCCTGTCCTCTAGTGTCTTTCATTAACATGACACTAAACATTACAACGCTCTTTGTATGTGTTCATGATGAAGAGCTTTTAGGCTTGAAACCTCACCTGTGGTGAGAACATAATTAAATATGTTTCTACTTTTGGAGCTGTGGTGTGCCAACTTTGATTTTCCTGTTTGAAGACACACCAGTTTGCAATATCAAGCAGCACAAGGAGCTGTTTTCTTCCAGCTTAAAATTAGCTGGAAGCGAATGACACCGGAAGCCAGTCCCATAAAATGTACAAATGGCCGCTCTTACGGGAAAAAGGTGGATAGCACAATTCTTAACCATACCCCAGACCTCACTAGTTTTCAAACCCTGGTTACTTCAATGTGTTATGTGTTTAGTAAAGAACAGCTGTGTTGTTGGCAGTTTTAATATATTTTAACTTTCAGTGTATTATTAGAAAATAATTCAGTGTATAATTATGCAGAGAATTGAATTGTTCAGCAAAAGTATGAGTCTGTTTCTTTGTCTGTGTTTTGAGAGCATGGACCATAGTTTGGAGAAATATAAATAAATAAATGGGTTAAAAACTGGTGTTGCTATATTAGTATAATTATTTGTTACTAATTTTATATAATATAAATTACTATGATATAATTTGAGTTTGAATAGACAGTGAGAATGACATCAAACATACATGGATTATGTGGACACTAATTATTGAAGTTTGAAAAAGATCTTTATTAATATAAGTTTAAAAAAAGAAGTCTTTCAGTTTACATTAGCCTACATTATATGTATAAAACTCAAAAATCACATAACCTCTTATGCAGATTGAACCCCAAAATAGATCTCCATTCTCTACTTTGCCTACTTTTCTCTACTTGTTTTTCTTTAAGACTGGTAACATAAAAGTGAAGGATCTAAAGAGTTGAAAACTAAAGAGTTGACTTTCTATACACAACACAACTATACACAGCTAATGTCCGAGTCTAGGTCCTACTAATGGTTTGGGTGTAATTCTGAATAGAAGTTTGAAAGTATGCAGGAGTGTGCTTTTGTGGTTGGAATATTATGATGTAAGATTTTGGTATGAAATAACTGAAGAGAATTCCATTTATACTGGATCTCTGGGCCACTGCATTCAAAACGACAATGTATTTGCTTTTGAGAGTGAGGTATGCTGTGAAATATGCAATCCAGCTCAGATAGTACAAAATGAGACTAAATGTTATTGATTTGGCCTCATTGTAATTTTTCGGCAGATCTCTTCCCATATAAGAAAACAGGAGACACAGGAAACCAAGAAACCAACTTATGAACACGACTATGGTTAATGGTATAGTGTTCCCCATTTCACAAATGAGCATAAGTTGATCTTTATAAGTCCATGAGTCAGCAATGGCTTTGACAGGATTGACAGTCATCCAGATCACACAAGAAATGAAATGAATGAAAGAAACAAATGCAATGAAGAGCCTCTGGCCATTGTGTTTTACCCAAAGGCTGTGCACCTTAGGGAACTGAGCAGCCATTTTAAAAACAGAAATAATTTGAAAGGAACGGACAGTCAAACAGGAAATACAAACAGTGAAGAAAAATACAAATATGGCATTTCTCAGGAGGCAAAATACAAATGATGGTTTTCCAAAGAAAAAGAACACACTTATGCTAGACATAATCAAACTGGTCAACATGAGGAAACACATGCCGCCACCAGCAGACTTCACCACTGGTGTGTCGTAATTGTAGGCAAAAAGGCAAAATATGGCAATAAGAAGAATAATTAGGCATGCAGCAGAAACCATGACAATGATGGAGGGGATTTCTGTGAATTGAGGATAGACAACAGAGCGTGTCTTACATGTTGTGCTGCCCTCATCAGACCATTCACCCTCTGCACAAGGAAAACAGGTATAAGGGTCCCCTGAAAAAAAGAGTAAAATAATATGATTGTTTATTAGTATTTTGCAATAATTGTAACTTGATGTGGGAAATATTTAGTCTTCAAATAGCACCATAACTCCAGTAAAGTATTGTATTGTAGAATAAACGGAGGGAGCTTTCATCGAAAATGAAAAATCTGTCATCATTTACTCACCCTCATGTCATTCCAAGCCTGCATGACTTTCTTTCTTCTGAGGAACATAAACGAACATATTTTGAAAAATGTTGGTATTTGGTAACCAAACTGTTTCCACTGACATTGTATGGATAAAAATACAATTGAAAATTTAATAGGAACGGAAATTATTTGGTTACTAACATTCTTCAAAATATCTTCTTTTGTGCTCAGCAGAAAGAAAAAGAAATGCATACAGGTTTGGAATCACATGAGAGTAAGTAAATGATGACAGAATTTCCATTTTTGGGTGGACTACCTCTTTAAATTCCAAGTTGTCATTGTCTGCTGCCTAAGGTACTTACGAGAAAAATCCACATAGCTGTTAGGCGGGCATTTTTTACATGTAAAACAGCAACTATGAAAATCGTCAGGTTGCCTTGAATATCCCGCCTTACACTCAACAGAGCAGTTTGAGAAAGGAACCTTTAAGGAATGGGAAAATGTGTTATTAAAGTTGCCATTTATTTCAATCGATTTTACACATTTCTCCAAACTAAGATCAGTGAACTCAATACAAATTACATAATTGCCTTAAATGCACACAAATTCCTTTGCTCTTGCTTTCAAAACAGTTAAAGTTGCGGCAGGAATTTTTTCCCCAAAAGCATATTTGTTATACTGGTTGAAAGTCTCTTCATTATCCTGACCACAATCAATTATTAAAGTGGTCTTACAAGCAAAATTCAAAGACTTGGCAAAATACACAGAGACAGACAATGGTGTAAAGCAAGTGTTTTTATGAGCTGCGTTTGTGATTTTTGAGTTGGGGGAGGCATAATGCGTGAAAGGGGTGTTTGCAAACATGCTGTATTTTTGTAGTTCCACTATGTGATACTAGTATGGTGTGTTCAGAGATTTGGATACGTGATATTTACATTCTCTGTGGTAAAGAGAGCAGTCTGGTGGCGGTGATTTCTTCCACTGGTTGTGCTGGTAACAATGCAGTGGGGAAAGGAGCAACATTTCAAGAGTAATCAACAACTACTAAATTAATACCATGAATGGAAAAGGAATAAAGTGCATAAGATGCATAAAATGCAAGTGATTAAGTTGGGTGTTGCTATGGCAGAGTTACGTTATCTTATGGTAAGATAAACTGAAACTAATAAGGTTAAGTCAGTGTTTTCATGTGGTATTAATAAAGCTTCTGTTTCATAAACTTGGTATTGATAACAGCTTAACATTATTTACCTTTTGTCTTTGCTATTATATTCCAATATCATTATACCCAATTAGCTAGTTATAGATTAAGAGTTGTTCTTTTAGATGAACAGATGGCTTGCTGCAGTTTTTAATAATTTATGTCATTAAAATAACATTCTGTTCTGTAAATCCATTGTCTGCTGGTTTATTTAGCTACTTTTCAGTACACCACCACATTAAGTATGCCATTTAGTACTATAAGACTTTGAAAGTGCAAATTAACAACTGACCACTCTTGTGGGTTTGCTATACTGTTATAATCAAAAAATCGTAGAAGGGTAAAAACATGCCAGGCAGACACTGGTATGATGTAAGCAACACAGCTACAACAAATAAAATTGATAATGGGTGTGTTAGATTTATAGTGTGCAAATGATCAAGCATTGACAATAATCAGTCCTATTGGCGGCACCGAGGGGCCCTCATATAAAATTCTGCTTAGGGCCCCATAAAGGCTTGGGCCGGACCTGCTGCCTACCCTAACAGCTAACTAAAATAAAGTCATATAGCCTTTATTCAAATGGAATCAAATTGACTTCTTCTGCATGGATTAGTATATTTATAACTAAGTAAATACTACAAGAGTGCACACCCGAGGGCCTCTCACAGTGCAGCCTCTCTGAGCTGTTCTGACCAAAGCGACCCAGCTACTTTATAGTATATTTTATCGGCTAAACTAACTTCCGATAAAATATTAACATCTACTCCCTGCTATCCGATTACCAGGCCAAGCTCCTGATTGACATAGGACAACATCCAGAGAAAGGGTTCCTTCACCCTCACTCTGGAAGGAGATTGTCACAATCAATGACCTTGTTCTCAATTATGCCTGTCAATCTATCCAAGCCTAACAGGCATTCTATGGGTCTCTCAGTGGTTCTGTTTGCTGTTTGCATTTACATTTATTCATTTAGCAGATGCTTTTATCCAAGCGAGGAATACAACAAGGGCTTCATCATAAAGAGGCAAATTAACACAGGAAGTGCTTGTGTAATACAAAGTTTCAGACACTGTTCAGATTACTACAAACTAGAACAGAGACGGAATAAGGAAAGTGACCTCAGACTTCTGGAGGGGATGTAGACACGTACTGTAAGAGTGAGAGGAAGTAGGAGTGTGTGGAATCCATGGCTGTTCTGCATGCAAACATCAGTGATTTGAACTTGATGTGAGCAGCAACCCGTAGCAAGTGCACAAGAAAAAGAGAGGTGTGACATGGGCCCTTTTGGGCTTGTTGAAGACCAGTCGTACTGCTGCATTCTGAATCATTTATAGAGATTTGATTGTGCGTGATAGAAGTCCAGCCAGAAGAGCATTGCAGAAGTCCACCCTAGAAATGACAAGGACCTGGACAAGAAGTTGTGCAGCATGCTCTGTTAGGAAAGGCCTGATCTTTCTGATGTGCAATGCGTGACCAAGCTGCTTTGCAATGTGGTCCTTGAAGGTCAGCTGGTCATTAAAGATTACTCCAAGATTTCTGACTGATCTTGATGGGGTAATTGTTGATGAACCTAGCTGGATGGTGAAATCATGCTGTAGAGTCAGAGTGGCAGGGAAGACGAGAAGCTCAGTCTTTACCAGGTTGAGCTGCAAGTGATATTCTTTCATCCATGCTGAGATGTCCACCAGGAAGCCTGAGATCCATGCAGCTACCATTGGGTCTTCTGGTTGAAATGAAGGATAGAGCTGTGTGTCATCAGCACAGCAATGGTACAGTATTGCACATGTCTCAGGCTACAGGGTTTTATGGTTTCAGCTGCCCATGTCCTGCTTCTGGGCACTTTGAGAATGAGGGCATTCATGAAGTGGGTTTTATCTCTTCATCTCACACTGTTCATCTCTTCAGCTCATGCACAGCAGTGCTGTGCCACTGGAGGAATGCAGAGTTTTACGCTCATGGGACCCTCCTCATGTTGGGGCAATTATGTTGAGGAAAGTGGTAATGACAGAGGCATCCTAAACAAGATGGGGAGTGACCAAAGGAGAGCAGAAGAGTGAATGCGGCCAAGCACTCTTTACTCAGCCCATATAAATTGTTTGGAGCTCCTCACTGTGTGGAAGGCTCTGAAACATTTTCTGCCACATTTGCAGTGGCATCATGTTCTAGCACGTTGTGACAATACCACAGCTGTAGCATATATCAACTGCCAAGGAGGGATGCGCTCCTCCAAGCTTCATGCTTTAGCTCACAAGCTTTTGGTATGGAACAGGTGGCACATTTTGTCGTTATGGGTGACCCATGTCCCAGGCATTCTGTACAGGGACGCAGACCTGCCCTGCTCTATGAATTCCCTCCCCTTTGCCTAATAATGCCTATCCGGGCCACAGTGAGAGAACAGAGTCTGACTTCTGTATGCCCAGGCTCTCTCATTACATACAGACCTCCTGTTCCAAGCAAACGGGGAAATCTACCACCCTCTTAAATTAAACACATTCGGGCTCCTGCCATGTGTTATTTCCACTGTTCAGAATGCTAGGGCTACTTCTACATGGTCTCCATATGACTGTAAGGGCTTCCAGATGACTGTGACTTAAGAAGAGTGATCCATGGCCTTGTGCTGCTGGGACAGGGTCTGATCAACTCTGGCTGGGTCACCTGAGTGAGGGTGTATGATGTTGAAAGACCCGAAACACCCGATGACCTCAGATGTGTTTTAGTGCATCCTATGATGTATCTTTGATGCATCTATACTGGCTCAGCCAATGACACCCAGTAATAGACTGGTTGAAAACCGAGAATAGATTGGTGACAACAGGAGAGACAGTTGACAGACAGCAATTGGAGCAGGAAGCAGTAGCAGCCCAACCTGCATCTTCCAAGAAAAGGAACCTCATAAAGCTACAGATTCACCCATAGAGTCATAAACCTGAAAGGGGGGGGGAGATGAGCACCCCAATAGGATGGACCCAATGATGATGACCTTGGCAAATGGATTAGCAATAATGACAACTTCAAGGTACATTTGCAGCAAGGTCTGCAAGAATCAGCACGGCCTTAACATCTATTAGACCAAGATGAAATGCATGGTGCAGGAGAGCACAGCACAATGCACAGAAGTTAATTCTAGTGAGACGCAAGAGGACCCTGGCCCGGAGACACCCCACAGTGCCCAAAACCTCCAAGCATAAAACTCTTCTGCTCCAGGCAGATTATTTCAGCAGCATATGATCAAGTGGTCTGCAGCAAGCCAGCATAGAGTATGATGCCAGTTTGTTGAGGATACGGCAAGAATTATCACCACCAAAGCAAACCACAGTGACCACCATCACTGTCAGTTTTGTGACAGAGAGTTTTGGCGTTGAAGAGTGCAAGACCAGCAGACCAAAGCATACCATGAACCGGAGGGCAGACAAGATCCACTAACTGCAGAAAGAGTTTCGAGCTTTGACAAGATAGTTCAAGGCAGCAACTGAGGATGAGAAACTACCACTCATCAAGCTCTGTCACAGCATTAGTAAGAAACTCGTGACCCTGCAGAACAGAGTGGCACAGAAGGTGACGGAGAGACAGTAAGGAATTGAGCTACATTCATAGCCAATCCCTTCGGGTTCACAAAACAGCTTTTTGGGCAGAAGCAAAGTGGATATCTGACTTGTTCCAAGGAGGAAGTAGGCCATTAGGATGAGTTTCAAATCTGCCAAGTCCAGGTCCATGGTGAGGAAAAGGGTGGACAAGTTCTGCTTCCAGGTGGGTGGGATTGTAATCCCATCCATCACCAAGAAACCTGTCAGGAGCCTTGACAAGGTCTTTGAGTGCAGCCTCAGAGATGCAACGGCCATTCATCGACCATCAGGGAGCTTGAATCTTGGCTCACCACAGTCGAAAAGTCTAGCCTACTAGGCCAATTTAAGGCCTGGATATACCAACATGGCATCGTACTTCGAATCCTCTGGCCTCTGCTGATGTATTAGGTCAACAGTGGAGACCATGGAGAAGAAGGTCAGTAGCTACATCCGCAGGTGCTTGGGATTGCCACGCAGCTTGAGCAGCGTAGCACTCTATAGAAAGAAAAATGCACTCTAGCTCCCATTCAGCAGCCTCAATGAGGAGTTCAAGGTCTCTCACGCCAGAGAGGCACTACTCTGTCTGGACTCTAAGGACTCGAGGGTGGCATCGGCAGGTATCATGGTGTGGACAGGCAGGAAGTGGAGAGCACAGGAGAGTCTGAGAGTCCCAGATGAGATGTAGGGACGCACACTTTGGTGGGCATGGTAACTACGGGCTGGGCAGGGTTAGGAGCCAACCCACAACCCAGCCATGACCCCGCAAGTACTTGAATCGAGCGATCTATAATGTCCTTCCTAGCCCAGTAAATCTCTACATCTGGGGTAAGATTGACTAACCAGATTGACTCATTTTGTGTATGAATACTTTGTGACATGTCTCTTAAGTGACCTTGCTCAGGCTTTCAGGGTCTCACTGTGAGCATATTGTGCAACCATGGAGCTGTCCATATCTCCAATAGGTGGATCTTGAACACAAGATGATGAAAGATTAAAAAAAAAACAGGTGACTGTTCATAACCCACGGTTCTCTGAAACACCAAGCTTGTCCTGACCATGAGATGCAGTTTCACATTTTTATATTATGTCTCTCCAGGTTAGATGATGAAGTTTGGAAAGGTTTTTTTTTTTTTTTTTGCACCAAAACGGCCTATCTTTATAGTAAAGCTCTTTTGATAGATGGACAGGCATTAGTTCTGAACACACCTTCTTGATTATACAAAACAATGATGCATGTTAAGGAGCGTGTTGAAGTGAAATTGTGACATCATGATTGTCCTGATTTCAAATCCTGGCATTTCCGAAGGGTAACAATAATTTATATTTTAACTTGGGGCATTAGTTTTGAGCTTTGAAACTTGCAGTACATTTTGTTTGCAGAGTAACCTCTCATATATGTAAATATCAAGAACATTTTAATTCTTAATTTCATGACCCCTTTAATCTCCTCAACAGCAAACCTCATTTCTCATTCATCATGACGATAAATTGAATTGTTTTGCTAAAGTAGAAGTCTGTTAGTTAACTTTCATTTGGCAAAATGTGTAAAACTGATTGAGAAAACTGTAATCTATAAAGCTAAATAAAATGTATAATTAAATCAATATTTAGATAAACTCTCAACAAAAAGACTTACAGAACCATTGTTATGCCAGGGAAGGAGAGAGTTATCAATGGTAAAAGTAATTCCTGGATGTTTCTCATATGTGCCCACCATCACGAACTGTGGAGGATTCACTTCAGTGCGCCAGACCACAACTGCAAAACTGATAGCTGGATCAAAATGATCATCATATTTCACCTGACGGCCATTGAGTATAAAATGCAACTTCTTTATTTCTCCCAGAAGCTGTTGTGAGGTGTGTAAAGAAATAAAAAAGACAAATAGTGTATAATTATATAACTATATTATCTATATTATATTATATTATATTAATGTTATATTACAACTTGACATGATTCACATGAGTTCACTTACCATATATGGCTTGGCCATTGTATTTTTCTGGCATTCATTGATGTCACACTGCAGAACTTTATGTAATGCATGAGCTATCGTATATATGGCAGCATATATGGCAAAGGAAAGTGAGGGATTCTCATTTATAATCTCCTCTGCAGTCAGCAATGAGCAGTAATGACAAACTTGATTGCATGTCTTACTCTTGACTTTACCCTCATAATCATTATGGCCAGCATCAGATGCTCCTCTGGCTTTATAGACAAATTGATTAAATCCGGGCAATGACAACAGTCTCTCTGTAATGCCAATGACTGTGCCAATTTTCTCAATTCCTGGCTCTCTTGGAAGCTGTTGATTCATAGCCCATGCATTACTTGCAATCCATACTTTGTCTCGGATGTTGTTCGCTATGGCTGCTTTGACAATTTTGCTTGCATATTGTGGCAAAGCAAAAATTACAATGACATTGATGTTGAGCATATCAATCTTTTTAAGCGTTAGACTGTAGTTTGTGTTTAGACTTAGACCCTCTTGATAGGCCAAACAAATACCAGTATTGCTTATATACTCATTAAAAAGCTTTAGTCCATCTGAACTGTAATCGTCTTGGCTACCAATAAAGGCAACCCAGTTCCATCCAAACCACCATATGATGTGAATAATCATCTCTATCAGGTCTTTGTTGCTAGGGATTGTTCTTACAAAGGAAGGATACTGAAGTTTATTGCTTAACGCATAGGTAGAAGCTCCATAATTCACCTTTGAGAGAGAAAAAACACTCATATATGTAGTAACATGGTAGTCCTACGTGGTAGGAAGCAAGTGTGTAAGTATTTTATTATGTATACTGTATAAAAAGAAAAATAATTTACCATTGGTATAAGGTCCATTGTGAACAGTGGTGCAATAGTCATAGTTCTTGTGCTTCCATATGGTCCTGTTAAAGCAATCACTTTAGGCTGATAGTTGTTGAGTTTTTCTTTAGGTTTTATTGAGCCATTATTCGAGATAAAACTGAAGACTGAATGGAAATTTTTTGAGTCCGTACAGTGGTCAAAAATCTCATATCCCAGAGAAACGTTGGGCAGAAGAGTTGTGGAGTTATTAATCTCCTCAACAGCAAACCTCATCACTTGCAACATCTGATAACCAGACGTGGAGGTACTGTGCCTAAAAAAGAGCAATGAGGAAGTTAATAGCATGTAATTTAATATTCAGTTCAGAAATATGAAATGCTTCTTTGATTTAAAATACTGCATAGCAATAATCCTACACTGGTAAAAGGTCTTTGCTTACCTGAAACAATTGAAATTCTTTGTATTAGAACAATAGTCAAAAATTTCATAGCCCAGAGAAACATTGGGCAGAAGAGTGGTGGAGTTATTAATCTCTTCAACAGCAAATCTCATTACTTGCAACATGTGATAACCAGATTTTGAGGAAATGTGCCTTGAAAACAGAAGTGAGGGAGTTAATAGCATGTAATTGAATATTCCGTTTAGCAATGAGTACTTTGAGGAAATGCTGCTTTAATTTAAAATACTGTGCATTCATAACCCGAGACTGGTAAAAGATCCTTGCTTACCTGAAACATTCGGTGGTCTCTGCAGAAAACAGAGTTGTTTCCTTTTCAATTTCATGTAAAGGAAAAAGGCCACCCAATAAGTAATCTCCCTCCAAGCTGAAGTCTGATGCTGAGCAAGAACTTTTGAAAAAGAAACAATTGGTAAAGCCCACAAGCAAAATGTAAATGCTACTGAGAAGCATGGTTTAAGAAGTCGTGAAACAGACTATGTGCACAGTGGCTAATCATCTGAGAAATATCAGGCTCATATTCGAGACTTAATTTTCTTAAAACACATTTCAATTTGCTTAAACCACTATATTCACTGATTCAAAAGTCCATTTCCATATCTAACTCATAAAGCACATCAATCATTTTTAAATGCATTACACCACAAATGTGTCCTCATATATAAATTGTTCAAATGTTTGTATTTATAACTCAAACTCTTGTGAAACAAACTGTAACCTTCTGAACTATCAGCAGGGTTTTTACAGTTGGATTAGAATCACAAAGTTTTTTCCAATTTAGAGATGGTTAAACAAATAAACTGTGATGACTCTCACTGTTGTGTATACATAGTACATGAGATTTTATTCATCATATTTAGGAGGTGAATACTGTGATGTTTTCATCATTTTTTGAGTATTCAAAATGGTTAATGCTCTCCCTGGAGGCTGAAAACCAATAGAAAATTCATAGATTCCAAATGGACTAGGAAAAAAAACAGCAACATGTTGTTCTCATATACTTTACATTTTTACATTTGCATAACCCAGTTCCTACATTAATTTAAATGTTTTGCATATCTCACATTAATCTAGATTTGTCACCCCACAAGTGGCACATTAAAACACCTATGCCACATCCTAGCAGACTTTAAAAAAAATTGTATCAGGACAGTGCAGCCCCTGTGGCTTATTATTTATTATTATTAGCTAAGTCACTAGAAATCATGATTTGTGTAACAAACCTGAGACAGAATTGATGTACTAAAATTTATTGTGCATTTATTACACAACCCTGTATGTATATCCCAAATTAAGATGGGAATAACACCAGCTATATAAACAACTGGGATTGATACGATTAAAAAAAAAATCTTGAAAAGACATGTCCCTGAAAGAAATTGCCTGTAAGTCGGCGTTGAATGGCATTTCATCACAATGCAAATTTCTTAGGAGCAAATTTCAGCAGCATTGTAGCAAATGTCCCGCCACGAGTCAGTCTCACCCTGCTTCGCTCATTAAGGCAGCCCCGCCCTTCCGCTCTCCCATCCCGTCTTGTCTTCCAGGAACCTTGGAAGAAGAAAAAGTGGGGGCTGAGCAATTGGGCTTGAGTGATCTCACTCTGCCGGCACAGCCGCACAGGTCACACATGCTTCACTCCTCAGGTAAAAAAGAAATACACTCAAGTTCTGCTATTATTGATGCACTTATTACATTTTAATTGTACTATAATAAGTGCATATTGACTGTGTTATTTTGGAACAATGGTAAGTGTTCTTTAAGATATGCTTAAGATCAATTTTAAAATAATTGTATTATATTTAGTTGTGTTAAAATGGAACCACTTCATGTACCTTTAGTGTCATTTAATTGTACTTGTTTACATTTCACGTAAAACACACTTTTATACTTTTTGAACTACAGTTACTATATATTTTAAGCTTCACTTTAATCATGTGCTTCAAGAACATTTTCAGTAGCATTTCAGCTAATCACAAATGCATTACTAGTACTCTGTAAAATAATTACAGTCAATTCAAATAAAGATAAAAAAAATGCTAACAGAACTTCTTAAAGTGCCCCAATTATGCCATTTTTAAGGTTCCCAATATTGTTTTGGGAGTCTCCTACAATAGGTCGGATACAATATGCAAGGTCTTTTTATTAATTTGCATATTTAATAAAGGCATATTAAATATGCATTTAATATCACCTCATTTTCCAACGATTCTCACACGATTCGTTCGAAGCAGTTCTAAGATTCAGTCTCTCTAAACCCCTTCTTTCCGTGAGCCTACTCCGCTGTGGTTGGTCAGATGGCCCAGTCTGTTGTGATTGGTCTACCGCGTACAAACCGATCGGCGTATGACATCAAAGTACCGCGAGAGTGATTGGAGGGCAGACGACTAAAGCTTTTGAATCGCTCTCGGGGTACTTTGATGTCATACACCGATCAGTCTGCGCAGCGCCGATGCATCTTGAACAAGCCTAATACGTCCATTGCCATAGTTCTGTATTTTGAACATTCAATAAAAAATAAAAATCATCTATTATTTATCATACTTACAGGTTGTGATTCAGTGGAGCCAGCTGGTCCGAATAAACTGTACTGAACCATTTTCCAAGAGCAAGCATTTTGTGAATCCCACGTTGAACTCCCCGTGATTAGAGAAGCAGTCATCAGTAAAATAACGGGAACTCTAAAAAAGACTGGGGTTGTACTGCTGTGGTACGGTGGAAAATGTATTTTAACCACTGATTCTTTGCAGCCTCATCTTTCGGAAGTGAAAATTAAACAAATTTACTTTCACAGCGTAGGACACAGCGGCTTCTCGACATGATGTTAACCACATGAACAAGCTACAGTGTTTGAGGGTGGGTCAAGTTGTTTGCGGCCGGCCAACGTAGAACATAGGCGAGCATTGTGCAAATGTGTTACCCTGCGTCGTGTAGCCATCACGGAAGTGGGATTCGAATTACGGACGACTCGTTTAGACTGTTCAGAGTCGATTTTTTTCTTCTGGGAGACAATAACTTTATTTATCGTGCACTTTCGGCTTTACAGCTTTGCTGATCGTTTACATTCACATAGAGCTACATTACACATTGCATAAAAGGCAATATTCGAAATGGCATAATAGGGGCGCTTTAAATCATATGTTGATAATTTCAGTTATACCTGTATTACTGGAAAGTACACTATGAATATTCCATGCATGAATAAAAATACATCACAGTGCAATTTTTTTGGCACACACACACACAAAACAGAAGTTACTGAAATAAAGCGCAGAAGTGAATGAAGTGCATTTTTTTCTAACTCAAGTTAAGCCTGCAAATGGCTGAACCAAACAAAGAAACAGAACATTTTAAATGTCACTATGTTCATCTTTAAGTGGAGGGTCACTTTTCTTTGAGTACGGCTTGTTGCATTTTCTGCAGCTGAGGGCTTGCAATTCAAACACTTTGGTATTCGAAATCTTCTTCATCACAGGGTCTGTGAAAGGAAAAATAATTAATCAGTGGTTTTGAGTGGTGTTTTTAAATATAATATGTATTAATAATCGCAATAAGCGTGTTTGGTAAGGTAAGGTGATGCCTGTTTGGATGCCATTTGGTGGCATAGAAACCATTATACTTGAATTGTTTAATACTTTTTCATGGTTTTCTGCAATATTTGAGGCATATTGAAACAGCTGTACCTAAATACTTTTCATGCTTTTATGTTTCAGTTACGTTCAGTTACATTTTCATTTTAGGCTATGTAGTTTAAATTTTTTTAATTTTTTATTTTTAGATTTTTATTGTATTAACAACTCAGCTGTATGTGGACAAAATGCATATTGCAATTTTTTTTTTGTTGCAAATAAAACTCCCATAGTCCATAACTACTGTAGTTTTAACTTATTTTAATATATAAATTCAGTTAAATCATCAAACATTTGTATGACTTGACAGTGACTTGCTTGACCCAAGCTACGACTTGACTTGAATTGCTTGATTCTCACAAAAATTGACTTGGACTTGCTTGAGACTTGAAGGTTAAGACTTGAGACTTACTTGTGACTTGCACATGTGTGACTTACTCCCACCTCTAGAAACACCACTACTGTGTTGCAGCGGTTCTTTTGTGGCTTTGTTTGGAACTATTTTTGTTGACAGAGCAAAAACGGATAAAGAAACTTTAAATATTGTATCTAAATATAAGTTACTTTTAAGTTACACCAAACATTGAGCCCCTGTCTGTACCACCTCTTATCAGACACTTTCAGTTGTCTATTCTGTTGGGTTTCAACTGTAGAATTTCTAATTTATAGTGTCATCAAAAACTGAACACATTAAAATTATGCATTTCTTTCACTCATGTAGGACTTTGACACCATGGTGTAAGGATCGCTCACGGTGTGTCTCTGCAGTGACGCTGTGATCTGAAGGTGCTGAACAGTGTAAGTCATGATGGGTCATTCTCTGGAGTTGATGTCCAATCAGGCCGTTCATCACTGTGATCAGCAGCATTGGCACCACAAAAGAGAGAAGGGCATTTACCTGTAAGGAAAAATATTTAGTACTGAAATAGGGACTATTCAAAATGTGGGGATGGGACACATTATGGCATATGCAATGATTATTTCCCAAAAGTCGAGTGGGAAAAAAATGCCCTCCCTGTCCCTGTTCTAATATTTTCTACACACCTGAAGCTAAATATGAAAAAAAATATGAAAAAAGTGCCTCTAATTGGGTATGGTTAATTTTGCTCTATTTTTGTGTACTTGGTTCTTTACAGTATCATTCTGACCTTAATTAATTTATAAAAAGTTTCATTTCAGGTTTCATTTGTTTCCTTCTCCCTCCCCAGACAATTTTACAGGCTGTTGCACTTCAGAGTATTTTCACCAGGTAATATAACGAGATCAGCATATCCGTGTGAAAAATACTCTTCAACACATATATTTTCTCTCTTTTTACCCACCACCTCACACCACTCCATGATGTACATGTAAGGTCATGTTCAGCATACGCACGTTCAGTTCTATCTAAAGAGAAATTTTAACAGAGCTATTTTCTGTCCAGTAAATACAATTTAAAACAGTTTTAAATTAAATCACTATGCCATCATCCATTTATGTATCACTACTCTCTCAGACATTATGGTCATGTTTACTACTTTATTGTAAAGTTACTACATTGTAGTAAACAGGTCAGACCAACACAGACAAATGTCAAAGAGCTCAATTCAAATGTATTTTATCTGCTGCAATGCTCTCTAAAAAGAAATTTAAGAGACCTAATACCACAACTTAAATGCATATTGCAAGTTAAACGTTCTAATTTATTGATTTAATTAAACCTTTTAAGTTGCAAGCATTATTTTCATGAGTTCTGTTGATGTGATGTGTGTTGTGTTTCTTATGCTTTTTAAGCAGAAATTCCTGCGTTATATATATATAACTGCGTCATACGTCATGTGTCTGTGTGTGTGTGTGATGTGTGTTTTCATCAGAAAGATGCAATGATGATGCAAACTCAAAAAAAACGTTAAAATATTTCTTATTTCCGACTATTTATGTTGCCATTATTCATTATGTACGCCAGCAGCACTCAAGCTGACATAACTGAACAAAACCTGATCACATTCTCCAGCATAATTTGAGAATGACCCAAAGAGTATATATATTGTGCTTCAATGGAATCAATAAAATCTGACTGTCAAAGGAGTTTACCGATCAACACAAATTTATCTGATTAGTGAAAAATAGCGCAGAATGCATGTGAAATATTTCTTCTTTGTTGTATATTGCAACGTTTTTACATTCTGAAAATTATTAAAATTTCAGTTTATTTCCAGGTTTAAATGTAAATAAATTGCATATTTGTGTCTCGGATTTCCCCCAAAACTGTTAAGTCAAAAAAAAAAATTATAATAATAATTCTTATCTTTATCTTTATTGTCCTTAAAGGCAATTCTTTATGTAGACGGCAGTATACAGTATACAGCAGCAAAACACACACATTATAATGAGTCATTTAAAAACATTATTGCAGCAGGTAAAGAATTCTTGTATCTATTTGACTTGCACAAAGGGAGTTTAAATCTCCAACCAGAAGGAAGCAGTTGAAATTCAGCCCACAATGGATGGGTGACATCGGAAAGGACTAACTGGCCCTTCCTAGTCACCTTATGTTCATAAATTTGTGTGATAGTCCTTAAGTCGATCCCCACTATCTTGCTGCACATTTGAAGTATACTATTCAACTTACTCCTATTCTTTACATTCAAATTGCCACACCAACAAATAATAGAAAAACCTAAAACAGATTCAATAAAACAAGTATAAAACATCTTCATAAAAGAAACATGAAAAGTTCGAAGTTTCCTCAGAAAATATATACACGCTTTCCCTCTAATAATATCAGTGTTTGCCTCGAATTTTAGTTTATCATCAAATTCAGTCCCTAAATATTTGTACTCCTTGACCACTTTGTCACAAATCTGGTCCATGGACTTCCATCCGATCGCCACCAGAGGTCACTCGTCCATCATATTGACTCACTACACTGGATCGTAGACCCATGCTAGCCCAAGGAATATTCTTTGTCTTGCCTGTGCCATACCTGTTTGCTGTTGTTCGACCCTGCCTGTGTTTTTTGAC